CTGTAGCAAACGAGTAGAATTTTTCCCCCTTATTTATGTAGAAAAATTACCTCTCTGCGATATGAGTCGAAGGTGTAAATATAATTAACCTTTCTAACCAAATTCTACTGAATTGCTATTGCTACATCAAACCGACAGATCTTCTCCTACTCATTTATGTAAAGTCGGTATCTCACCCCGATATTAGTCGAATATGTCATTATAATTGAACTTTCTGGTCGAATTCTATAGAACTGCCGTAGGTGTAGCAAACCAATAGAATCTTTCCTCTTTATCTATGTGAAAAAGTTAGCTTACCACGACATTAGTCGAAAATGTCAATATAGCTGAACTTCCTAGTCAAATTCTGCTGAATCGCAATGGCTATAACATGCCGATAGAATTTCTTCTCCTTATTTATGTATGTATGAGTTTCTTCCCCTTTTGCAAAAGTGAATGGTAATGTATGAAAATGTGATTCGCCAGATTCGGATGAATGTTTTGAATGGGAGGTGTTGAATCGGGCGATTGTGAATGTGAGGATGCGAAAATCTCCCGGTCTTGATGGTACACTTGCAGAAATGTTGCATATGGTTTTGAAGGCCATTCCTTAATATTTGAAGTGTATGATGAATGCTTGTCTGAAGGATATTTTTCTGCAGAGTGGAGGAAAGCGTGTGTGGTTGTTATACTAGCGTCCAGAGATACCGTCATCGTAGCCGGTATCGAATTGGCCTATCATTCTGAGGTCCATGTTGGGTAAAACCATGGCGAGAGTATTGGTAGCGACGCTGGAACGATGCGAGAGTGATACAATGAATGTGGCCCAGCATGGATTTCGGACAGGCCGATCGAAGGAGCGTTTGGTTAAGAGGGAAGGTGTACGTGAGTGGCAGCGAGTGCAAGTATGTTTCGTGTGTATTTGTGAATTTCAAGGGATCGTTCGACAACTTGGGTGTGTGTAATGCGTAAATTGAGGGAAGTTGATTATTGGGAATTTTCTTGTGGAGGAGCTACTTCCAAGGCAGGACTGCGTGCATGATGGGTGTGAATGAAGCTGTATATGGGGCTGTCAAGCGCGACTATCTGCAAGTATCCATCTGTGATCCATTCATTTGGAACTTGATGGTGGATGAGATCCTGTGGCGGCTGAGTAGTTGTGAGTGTAAATGTGTTGCGTACGCTGATGATCTGCTTTTGATTGTTGAAAGACAAAACCGAGTGGAAGTTGAGCGAAAGGGACAGAGTGGGTGAGAATTGTAAGTGAATGGGATAAGAGAGTGAGTGGGGCTATGTCCGAACACCAGACGTTTATGATGTCTTTGGGTAGACGAACGAATGTGAGAATGAATGGGAATCTGATAAAGTATGCGGAGAGTGTGAAATACTTGGGAATTTGGGTGAGTGAGAGGTTGCACTTCAAGGTGTATCCAGAGTGCTTACGGCAGATCATGAATGTTGTAGGACAAGAAGGCATGTATTGAAGTGCGAATGGGGAATGAGAAAGAGAGCTGTGCGTGTAATTTACAAGGGGCTGTTCGTAGCATGTGTAATGAGTAGGTCGAGTGTATGATATGGAACAGATGTCAGCGAATGGCTTTGTATTCGTGCCTGTAGGTATGTAGAACTGTTTCGACTGAAAGCATGCAAGTGCCGATGGGATCACCACCTGGGGATTTTGTGTGCTTGAGAAGAGGTATTTTGCGCAGCGTGAGGAATGGTGTGACTTTGTGTGAGAATATCTTTTTGCGCGATAAGGATATACGTCGAAGTTTGAGAGATTATTGTGTTAAACTTGTGAATGAGCTAATATATGAGTGTTGGCAGAGAACATGGGATATGAATGGGCGAATAACGTATGAACTTATTAAGAATGCAAGATTCGCGGAGCGGAATGCGTGTTTTAAAACGAATGTGTACGGGTGATCCCTGATGACCGCGTGTGCTAGTATGTATGCGCTTTTGAAAAAGCGTGGCTTGAGTGAAAGTGAACGGTGTGAGTATGCTAGTAAGAAAGTAGGTTGGATGCGTGTGCTAATTGACTGCTCGCAGTACGATGACCTCTATAACCTGAGTGAACGTGGGGTACATATGAATGCTGATAGTAGTGCAGGTGTGTTTGTTGTGATGGAATGCAAGAAAAGTATGAATGGATTTGTAAGTATGCAAAGAGCGAGCTTGAAAGGAGTCGAGTGCATGTTGTGTGATTGTGGTATAGAAAGAGCTGGTGTCTCAGGGGCGCAGAGAGGAACGTTGCGCCCTCTGGCGTGGTGTTTCTTCGGGAATGACGCCCCCATGCATCCGTGTTGGTCCAACCCAGACCGAAGCTTGCAAGGACCTTTAGGAAGTGGGTCAACCTCACCTCATGTATGACTAATATGGCCTGAGCACTGGTACCGCGTGAGTTGACTTTGAGCCCCCAAAGTGACTAATCCACTCCGGTGTAGACCAAATGGGTTGGAATTGCAAGGGCATTGGTATAGCATAGGTCGCACGCAAGAAACGTTGACGTCTCGGCTGGTGAGCTGACTTCATCCAGCTAGAGCGTCTGCCTGCAAAGCCGGTAGGAATGTTCGAAAGCTCCCGTCCGTACCATGGGTGATCTGTGGAGCTTGCTGTCCTGGGTCTATTGGTAGTTGCCGTTGAGTAATGTCCAGCAACGCGCTGATTGAGCGTATCTCAGTCCCGCGCCCATGTAGGTCGTATGGATAAAACCCCAGAGGTTGGTACCTCACGTGGAATCATCGAGACTCGTTGTTTCAACTGAAACGGGTTAAGTCGGATAGACACGACTGGGACGATCCGATCTGAATGAGCTGCACTCGAACAAACACGACTGAGATCGTTCGAACTGAACTGACATAAGTATAATCGCTATGACAGGGATGCTCCTTGCTGAGCAAGGCGCACTCGGACCTACATAACTGAGATTGTCCGATCCGAAGCGGGTTAAGTTGGACCGATGCGACTGAGATTATTCGCATTGGACCTGGATAAGACGGGCCAACACGACTGGGATGATGTGAACTGAGGAGAATTCGGATTCACAGGTATGCAATAGTCTAAAGTAAATCCAGAATAGTCGAACAGGCACGGCTGCCGTGAAGCGAAACGAATTAATTTAATGGGCGGACACTAGTGAGATTGTACGAACTGGAACCGAATAAGTTGGGCAGAACCAGCTGTCACGATCCGTCCCCGTTCCGAACAGAATGCGGAACACTCGGTCTGGTTTATCTAAAATTGTCCGAGCAGATTCGAGATGTGTCGGATCGCTACTACGAACATTGTCCGAACTGAAAGGGGATAAGGCGCACAGTCACGCCTATGACTATACAACCTGGACTAGTATGTTACGAGCCTAGACGACCGGGATAATCCGAACTAAATGAGGAGCATTTGGACATGCAGAACTGAGAATGTTCGAATCGAAACGGGGTAAGGCTAACCTACGCGACAGTGGTGATCCGAACTAAAAGAGTTGCACTGGTATCACCACGACTGAGATTGTCCTAAGTGAACAGGCATTATGCGGAACAATTCTTTTGGAATGATCCGAACTGAATAAGATGCACTGAGACCGATACGACGGAGCGAGCTGTCACAAGAGAGCCAGAATAGGGAGGACCAAGAAGACTGGAAAGATACGGCCTGGACCGTAATTCCACGGAGCGACAGGATATGGATGAATCGGACAGAGCGGGAAGCACTCAGACATATACAGCTGAGATGATCATGTAGGGTCATCACAGTTGCGTCAGTCCGACTAGTTCCGGTTATTTTAGGGCAATTTCAGTCGTCACTGTCTGCCTTATCCCGGTTTAGCTCCTTCAGTGTGAGTCACGACGGTCCGTCTTATGCCGGTTGAGTGCGGACAATCTCAGAGGTTTCGACCTTCGTGCTTCTCGTTCAGTGCGGATCGTCCAACTCGTGTCGGTCCGAATTGATCCGGTTCATGTCGGGTTGTACAAGGCCTGACTGTCCGACTTTTCCTCCCGCATGGTAACCGTAGTATGGGAATGACGACCCCATGGTGCCTAAGTTGGCACAATCCAAGTGGAGGTTGGCAAGCAGCCTCAATCGGAAAGTGAGATGATCTTACGAAAAATATGACCTGTATACGGCCAGGGAACAGGTGCCACTGGGAAATTGACCTGTGCCGTCTGCGTTTTAGCTGTCCGCTTGTCGGTCTCTGGGTAGGACTCATGAGCGAAGCGGTTAAAGCCTCCACCGCAAGCAAGATGTGATTCAGCCCGCGGCGAGTGATCTACCCCTGAACACCTCGAGCGCCAACCACCGATGTCGGTAGAGATTTAGAACAATTCCGTCGGATGATGGTCGACAAGTCAGGTATACCACGAGACGATTGGGAGTTCCGTGTGAGGTGCACGCAAGAACACGCTGATTGAACGTACCTCAATCTCGCGCCCATGGGGGCCATGTGGATTAAACCATAGGAGTTGGTGCCGCACGTTAGATCACCGACACATGTTGCCCTACATACCCCGGTTAATTTCGGACAATTTCAGTCGTGTCAGACGGAGTCCTTCTCATTCAGTTATGTTCAAACAGTTCTGTTCGACAGACTTATCCCGGTTCAGATCGGAAAATCTGTCATGCCAGACCGAGTACTCTTCGTTCGGATCATTCCATTCGATCTGGCCGCCTTGTGTCGGTTCAGTTAAGACCGCTATCGTGTCGGTCCATGTGCTGCTCGTTCATTTCTGATCATTCGAGCCATGCTGGTCCACCTTATCTTCGTTCAGTTCGGACATGCACAGTCGTTGCTGGCTTCGAGCTCCTCGTTTAGTTCGGACGATCTATTCGGTGGTGTTAAGACTAGACCATCCAGGAGTTACATTTTCCGCCTAAAATCATCCCTAAAAGGCTTTTCTCCGAGCCCCCATGTCTGTCGCATGACCATGTTAGCCTTTTTAATGCTTTCCCTCACATGCTTTCCCCAATTCCTGTTCCTCTGAACTCTTGCCCCCAGATACACAAATTCTCTCACTACCTCTATTTTATTGTCCTTCCATATCCAGTCCACTCTTTTTCGCTTTGCCTCCTCCTTTCCGGGACACCAATACTTTTGATTTCTCTGCGTCAATAGTTAACTTCTCCTTCTCTAAATACTTTTCCAATCTCTTCATTAGTTGCTGCAAATCTTTCTCTGGCTCAGCTAAAACAGCGGTATCGTCTGCATATGCTAATGTACGAAATATTCACCTGCACAATTTGAACCCACCGCAATGTTCCCCTGCTAGCTCGTCCGCCATGTCCGCGATAAGCAACGTAAACAGGGTTGGACTCAGGACATATCCTTGCCGCAAACCTTCCCTTATCCAGAATGCCTCCGTTATCGTTTCCCCAACACTAACCACGTTACTGGCCCCTTCATACACTTCCTTGATCCGTTTTGACATTCCTTTCCGTATTTCTCTTTCACATAGAGTGATCCACAGCAACACCCTGTTGACCCTGTCAAACGCCGCCTTAAGGTTCAACGAAGAATACCGCTACCTTCCCTCCTTTCTTCAGTAGCTTTCTTTCCACTATGTGCTGGAGGATACATACGTTATCCGCAGTGACCCTACCTTTGATAAAGCCCGCCTGTGTGTCCGGTAGTAGTTTCCTTTCTTCAATAACATTTTTTAAGATATTCAGAATCCCAGGGTATATCTTGTACGTCGCATTGAGCAAGGTTATTCCTCCGTAATTGCTTACATACTCCAGGTCACCTTTCTTATATAAGAGAATAATTATTCATTTTCTCCAGGTATATGGAAAATCTGCTCCCCTCCATTCCTCCCTAATTATCTCCCCTACCCGATCTCTTGTTCTCCCTTCACGTCCATTCCACGCCTCCCTCAGGATATCATCCCCTCCACTAGCTTTCTCTTTCCTTATTCTATCTCTCTGCTCCAACATTCCTTCTTCTTTTATTTTCGCTTCATCCGCATCCTCCGCAAGCTCCCTTCTGCACTCTCCCACCCATTTCTCTTTTGAGCTTCCTAGCATTGCCAAGAAGTGCTCCTTTCAATCTGCCAGTCTTATATGGTTATCCACTAGTTTCCGTCGTTTTCTCCTTTATTAATGACCCTCCATACTTGCGATTCCGTCTTCGCATTTTTTATTTCTTCCAATACTTCCATCTTTTTTTTATCCGTCTTCTCCCGGCATATACTCTTGAACCCTTCCTTTGTTTCCAAATACGTCTCTCTTGTTACTTTGCCCTCTCTCCATCTTTTATAAACTTTCCTCACTTTTCTTTTTCCTGCTCGACATTGTCTCTTCCACCACTCCAGCCTACCTAATTCTCTTCCTACTTTGGCCACCTCCTTTATGTTTAGGTAGCCTCTCAATTCATCCTTCAATTCTCTTCATGCATCCTGGTTTTCTACCTCATAAAATATAGTCTTACTCGTTCCTTCCTTAAATTTTCTACTGTCCTGCTCGTCTCATACGATTACTGCCTTCGCCTCCTTTGGCACTATCTCCGCCCTTCTACTTTTACCCGCGTTTATGTAGCAATATAAGGGTTGGTGGTCAGATTAAATCCTGTCTCCTACTTCAAACGACCATACTTTTTCCATTCTCTGTATTCAAGACAATATAGTCTATCACAGTTGTCCCTCTAGGCCCTACAAATGTGTACTCTTCTTCCTGGTCTCCCGTAAAGTTGCCATTAGCCAAATGTGAGCCTTTCTCTTACATAAGTCTTAGCAGAGAATCTCCTTCTGTACTTTTTACTTCATCCATCGACATTGTTTCTCTAAATTCCCATTTGCCCTCCACCATATCTTTTTCTGCATATAGATGGTCCTCTTTCCATGCCTCTTCTTTTATTGCATTTTTGATTCTCCTTGCCCTCTTCAGCACGTCTCCGTTGTTGTATATTGTCCAAATATTCCATTTTTCTCCGTCAACACTAATTCATCTGCCCATCGTACCTTCTGCCTTATCTTCCTATTCCTCTTTAACCCCTGTTAGTATGCCACCTTTGGCCCTTCGTCTGTTTCTCTCCCTGCACGCTCATGCCCTCCATCTAAAACCCTTTGCAAGCGATCTTTAAACTTACTCCAACTCTCTCCTTCCAACCACGTTTTCACCAACCCTACGAAAAACTGCTCACATACTTCCATAGATAATTATATTTACCGCTCAAACCAGCCACCTTCCAAAACAGAATTTTCACTCCTGCCATAGCATCGCCGTCCTTCTTATGTTCCCTCTGAGTCCATGGCTGGTTAACTAACAAAAACTATAATGTCTTTTACATGACTCCTTCTCCCATTTTGCCCAGCCAATCCGTCCGCCGTCTTTTCTTACTTCTTGGTGGCCTATCTTTACTTCATTACCATTTTTCTTTCTTCTATTGGGACTCTTCTGATTTTTTGTTCAACCTTTCCAGCCTTGTGAGAGCCGGGTCTATGTAAATATTTGTGCCCTTCAATTTAGACTTGTTCTTCAGGATTTCTAGTTTCTCTTCCCAGTTACTTGCTACCAGATACTTGGTATCTTGCTACCACCATCTTATGGCTGCTACTGCCTATCACTCTTATCCATTCCATCTTACTTCTCACCCCCAGTTTTTCGGTCTGCAAGCCTTCGAATTCCTCTTTTATTTTGAATCCGTATTTTCCAGTTCCTCCTATGGCAATGTTATTTTTTCTTTCTAACCTCTCTTGCCTTCTCAGGCCCCCTTCTATCCTGTCTAACTCCTGTCTAGTTCCTCTCCTATTTCATTCTGCCTGTTACCTCCTCTACTTGTTGCTACAGCCCCAACCAGTCACTTTTGCATCTCATTTCCCCCCTCCTTTTGCTCTAAAATCTTTTCTATCCATTCTCCTCTCCATCCTTCCTCTTAGATTCTTACATTCCTCATTCTCCTGCTCCATCATATTTCTTAACTCTCTAATTTCCTCTCTTGTCTCCTCCCGCGTAATCCGCATTTCCTCCTTACTGCTTTTTAACTTCTCCATTATCCTCCTTAAACATGTCTTTTATTTCCATCATGCCTTCGCTGTTCATCACGTATGGTTCTTTACCCTTCTGCATGCCTCTACTTTTTTGTCACAGTCACTGCTACCCTTTGCATCCCTTGTGTCTCAATAACAAATTGACCCAACGACCCTATTCGTTCCATAGCCTTCTTCTCCTCCGCAAACGTTCTTCCCTCCCTAGTCCTGATTCCTCCATCCTTTTCATCCATCGCCGTTCCGGAGCTCCTCCTTACCGACACAAACCTCTCAATCTCCTGTGGTTTTACTTGCCGATACGTCCAGTCCACGCTTCTATCTCACACAATCTTAACCTCTAATTTTTACCTAAACAACTCTTCTTATTAATTTTGCATTACCTCTTATATTCCAACGTTTATTATTATCTCGTTTTACGAGTTGTTACTGGACCCACTTTTTACACAATTCTCTACCTCCTACTCTGTATTACATCGCTTATTTAAAAATCTCCAAAGCAGTACCACTAATCTGTGCTATTCGCTACCACTCGGTGGAGTTTGGCGCTTTTCTGTGCTCCTCAGGTCTCTGCTGCGCACTGCTGCGGTCTGTCGTACTTTGCTGTGGTTGCTGTGCTATTCGGTGTGATGCTGTTCGAAGTAGTACTTTACTGTGCTATTCGATGGTATTCGACGTTATACTGTGACTTGCTGCGCTCTACTGTGCTCTATTGTGATGGTGGGAAAACTCGGGACGGTGCTGTCCAAAGCAGTGCTAATCTACGCTATTCGGTGGTACTTGGCGCTAAGCTGTCCTCCGCCACGTCTGCCTGCCCTCTGCACCACCCCGCAGTGATCGCGGTCCCATTCGTGCAGTTCTGTCCAACGCAATGCCAATCTGTGCTTCAATCTGCTATTCGGTGGTATTCGGTGGCACTTTACTGTGCGCTGCTGATCTCTGCTGCGCTCTGCTACGCTCTGTTGTGCTCAACTGTGGAGCGATGCTATTCGGAGCCATGCTGTCCTAAGCAGTGCTGATTTGTTCTTTTCGGTGAGATTCGGCGTTATACCGTGGTCTGATGTGCTCTGCAGCGGTCTGCTGCGCTCTGATACCCTCTGCTGCGGTGGCGTTGCTACTCTGTGCGGTGCGGTCCTAAGCGGTGCTAACCTGTACTATTCGGTGATATTCGGTGGTATTTGGCGATATATTGTGCTCTGCTGATCTCTGGCTATAGCAGCTATTGGTAAGGAATATTACCAATATATAGCATTATAATTCGTATCGGCTTTTGTTTAAAGGTTTCAATTGCACGCAAAATATAAATAAGCAAAATTAAGCTGATAGATTCATGATCTATCGCTACATTTAATATCATTTTGCATGAAATTGTTTATATTATTGAAAATTATATTGGTAATGGACAATACGTTGTATAGATGGCAGTATACAGTTGTACTGTTCATTACTAGTAGCCTATCTGTACCTATAACGAAAACTTTATCCATTCACTGATCATTCTGAAATTGCTATAGAACGTAGATGATCAGTGAATAAAAATTATTAAATTAAATTTAAGTAAAAGATTTTTATGGTTTACAGAATTAATTTAATTAATTAATTTAAAATATAAAATTAAAATTTATTTTTATACAATATGAAAATATTTAATATTAAAAATTTAAAACTGTATTGGTACTTAATTTCTGAAACAATTAATGAAAATAAAAGTCGAAAATTAATTTTAATAATGATGAAATTAGTGCCAGCTGTAGCAGTTAAACTAATGATTTTATAAACTAATTCTATTTAAGAAAAATAATTTCATCAAATTTTAGTGATAATTATTAAAATAAATAATTTTTAAGTGAAATTTGTAAATTATATATAAAAATAATTTTTAATTCAATAGATTTCAAAACTTTTAATTAAAAGCCAGGATGAAATACCTAGTAATAAGAATTAATTGAAATAATTAAAAGTTAAATGTAAATCATTAAAATTAAACAATGTGGCGGTTTATTTATTATTATCGAAACTTGTTGGTTAATTTCATAATCCACGATCAGAAATAATGAAATTATGCTTATATTATGTTGGTTAAGGATTTATTGCAAATAAAGTAATAAATTTTGATACTAATAAATTTAATATGAAATATAAATTCAAATCAAAATGTAGAAAATTTGAATCTTAAATAGTTACAATGATTTAAAATTTTATGTAATTAATTTTAATAATTACTTTAAAAGAGGAGTTGGGAAAATTCTTTGTCATTGAATATAATCAAATTAATGAACAAATTTCCGGCCAATTTCACTGTATGCTGAATAAGTCGCAGCATAGGAAGAATACTTGAAAGTGCTTTTAGAAAATTAAAAATTATATTTATAAAAAATTATATGTAACTTTCATAATTCTTAATTGAGTTAATATTTACTTTAAATACCTCTTTTATTATAAATGTTTATTAATTAAGGTTTTAATAATATAAAAATATTTTAGTAAAAATTTTAAATAATTTTAATTTATGCGTAAAATTTATCCTTATTTTAAAATTTAAATAAAATAAAAAAATTTTGTATAAAGAACTTATGGGTAAACTATAAATTTTGTAATTAAATTTATAAGATTTTATTTTCTATTATTAATTAAAGGAATTCAGCAAAAGAAATAATTCAATACTTTTTTAATTATTTATATTGTTGATATAATTTTATAATTTATTATAAAATAATTCTTTTATTTTCATCAGACCATTACATTATTTATTTTTTTAAAGATTATTAATTGATTTAAATCGAACTCCTTTTTATTTAATTCAAAGTGAATGAGAATGAGTTTCTGGATTAGTACTGAATGTCATAGAAGAATGTTTACATATCAATGTAATTCAATTACAAAGTATACAAGTTTAATATAAACCATAACACTTTTCAACTATATTTATATATCAGTATTATTTTTTTTATGTACATAGTGAATTTATTATTATTATAAATTCGAAGTTACCAAGAATTCGTTTCGATCAATTAATAAATATTTATTGAGCGAATATATTAA